TTAGGATGCGTAACTGGCATTTGATATTTCTATCCTATTTGCATTTGAGTAGGACTTATACCTAGTTTATTCCTTAAAACTTCAGTGTTCAGGGAAGAATTAAACATGCATTAGAATTCTAGAAAGGCCTTAGGGTCATAGCATATGTAAAAACTAGCAGTTTGACACTGTATTTGAAAAAAAAAAATTAATCAGTGTCTTTATTCCCAAATTATTTTGTACTAGGTAAAATGCAGTATCTTGTCACAGAATTTAGAAGTTCCTGAATGCCAACTGCTTTCCTATACTATATAATATGAAAGCTATAAGGTCATTATTTCTTTCCTAGTGAGGCTGCAAAAGTTGGCTATCTGGGAAAATTAAGAAAAGTGTCATTTCCAGTAGCCACCATTCTTCATCTGTTGATTTTAATTAAATCAAATGCTGATCATTAAGTAGAGAGAAACTGAAGTCAGAGTTTGCTAAGTATTGATGATGAAACTGTCTCTCTGGGTCTTATTACAAAACTCGGTGTTGCAAACAAAATTCCCTACTGTAATCGCTAAAAGTGGGTTTACTTGTTAATCAGTTTCAAGGGGCCTTATTAAAATGATGTCTCTCAGTTTCTTCATTGGGACATATTAACTGAAACCAATTTCAACAGACGTAAAGTTTCAACTTAAGACTAATGAATTTAGTTTAGTTTGAGTATATTGAGATAATTAACTGATTCCTCAGGGATGGCTGTTTCCTCTGCTTCAAAGCACCTTCCTTTGGGAGACAAGATAGTGTAGTGTGAAGAGAAGAAGTTTTGAAGCCAGATATAGGTATGTACTCTGGCTTTTCTACCATCTACCCATATCCTCCTTGGAAAGTTATAAACTCTGAGCCTCAACTAGTAAATAAAAAATACTACTTATAGCCCAGGACAACTTTGAGTAAATCTATAACGGATGTTACAACATTTTGCAAACTGCAAATTGATGATACTATAATGATTATGAGTAGAATGATAATGAAAACAATAATAATAACAGTTACTCAAACTTATTGGGTGATTGTTGTATGCCAAGCTAGGTACTAAAAAGGTCTATGTACATTAGATCATTATTCTATACAAAACACTATGGTGTAAAATAATTGTTCTCACCTTTTATATAAGAGAGGCTCAGAGAATTTAAATAATTTGCCTCAAGTCACACCTGATAAATGTGCTAGCTAGAATGGAGATTCAAGGAGAATATATATGTAAGAAATGATGTATAGGTATTTGAATACAAGAAGTGATATTGAGATTGGAGGGTGGAGCAGAGATTCAAAGAAAAGCAAGGAAAATGACAATATCTAAAATGTAAAATACATACAAAACCTGGAAAGGAATATAAAAAGTTTAAGGATGAATATTATTATTTGATCTACATAGTAGAAGCGATAGTAGTAATATTCACTAAGATAAAGCACACAGGATGAAAATCAGATTTGAGAATCTGGTCTTTGGCATACAGAAATTGAGGTGCTTTAAGACATCCAACTTAAATCAATTATAGACATGTGGATATAAAACTCAAGCTTTAAGGAGATGTCTAAGATAGAAAAATAAATTTGAGGTTCATTGATAACTGATGTTGTGAGCACAAAAAAGGGTTTAATAGAGGAGGAACTAGAAGAAATAACAGTAGAAAAGTAGAGGCAAAAAGTGAAATCAGTGTGGTAGGAGAAAAACAAAGAAAATGTGATTGCTACCAAAATCCCAATGGCATTTTTTACAACCTTAGAATTCACATGGAATCATGAAAGACCCCAAATGGCTAAAGAAATCTTGAGAAAGAATAAAGCTCAAGGCATCAAAATTCTTCATTTCAAAATATATGACAAAGACTTAGAAATTAAAATAGTATAGTATTGGCATAAAAACTGACATAAAGATCAATAAAACAGAATAGAGCACCCAAAAGTCAACCCATAAATATATAGTCAAGCAATTTTAGATAAGGTCATCTAGATAAATAATGAGAAAGGGATAGTATCTTTAACAAATGGTGCTGGGAAAACTGGATATCCACATGCAAAAGAATGAAATTGAATCCTTATCTAACACCCTACACAGAAATTAACTCAAAGTGAATTAAAGACTTAAATGTAAATCTTGGAACTGCACCCTGGAAAAGTATACAGAGGGAAATCATGTTATTAGGTTTGGCAGTTATTTCTTGGATATAGTACAAGAAACAAAAGCAAGTTAGACATGTGTAACTACATTAAACTATAAAGCTTCTGCATGCAAATGAAACTATCAACAGAGTGAAAGAGATAACCTACAGAATGGAAGAATATATGTGTAAACTATATATCTGATACATGGTTAACATCCAAAATATATGAGACTCCTATAACTGAGCAATAAAAGAACCCCAGTAAACTGATTAAAGACATTTCTCCAAAGACTGAAAAGGGCAATTAGTTATATGAAAACATGGTCAATAGCACTAATTATAAGGGAAATGCAAGTCAAAACCACAGTGAGATATCTCCTTACACCAGTTAGTGTGGCTGTTGTTAAAACATGCTAAATGATGGTGAGGATGTGGAGAAATTTAAATTCTTGTACAATGTCAGTGGGACTATAAATTGGCACAGCCATTATAGAAAACAGTATGTAAGTTTCTCAAAACATTAAAATTAGAACTATCATATTATTCATTGTTCTACTATCCATTTTTGAATATATATATATCCAAAGACTTGAAATCAGGATCTAAAAGAGATAGCTGCACTCCCATGTTCATTTCATCATTATTCATAACAGCCACGATGTAGAAACAACTTAAATGTCCATGGATAGGTGACACAGAGTAGAATGGTGGTTGCCAGGGATGGGGGGAGGGGAAAGTGAGACTTGTTCAATGGACAAAAAGGGTCAGGTATATAAGATGAATTAGTTCTAGAGAGCTGCTATACAACATGTTGTCAATAGTTAACAATACTTTATTGTGTACTTAAAATTTTGTTAAGAGGGTATATCTCACATTAAAGGTTCTTACCAGCTTAAAAAACAACAAAGAAAATGTAATATCACAACAGAGGAGACAAGGTGCATTTCCAAATTTCAGAGATCTAAAACTTTTTAAAAATATATTTGTATTGATATTAGAGAGGAAGGGAGAGGAAGAGAGAGGTAGAAACATCAATGATGAGATAGAATCATTGATCAGCTGCTTCCTGCAGGGATTGAGCCTGCAACCAGGGCATGTGCCCTGACCAGAAATCAAACCGTGACTTCCTAGTTCATAGGTCTATGCTCAACCACTGAACCTCACCAGCCAGGCTAAAATTTTTTAAATGTTCATTGTATTAATCAATAGCGTAATAGTCAGACAAACTATACAGAACTGGAGGGAAAAGCAGGATTGGAAAGAGAAAAAGGCTGTGAAATATTGGAAGCAATAGACAATTTTTAAAAGATGTTGGTTACTGCTATGAATTTTATTCACTACACATATACCTACTATATGTGCTATATGTTATATTTTAAAAATGGTTTTCTAGTCTGAAATTTAATGAGAAACTGAATTTTACCATTGATAAAAACACAGTTCATTTTTTATATACACTCACCCAAACAGAGTCTAAAACTATGGTAGAAGCAGGTTTATTTTTCAGGTAGGTTTTTGGAGTACCTTGGCTTTATTTATGTTTCTGATTCATCTTACTTTTTAAAGCAAATGTATATCTTTTGAACATTTACTATTTACTGTGGAGTTTACAGAGTTCTTCACATCTAATAATTCATTCAATATTCACAAAAAACATAAAAGGTGCATCATTTTTACTTGATTTTACAGTTGAGGAAATTGAGGCTTTAACAGAGTGTGGGTGTTGCCCAAGGCCTCATAAGCAAGCTGCTCAGGATTTAAGTGCTAATCTTACTCTTTCACAAAACCTGAGTTCTTATTTAAATGAATGTGGCCTTTTTTATGTTGTTTTCACTAATATAGTTTACCTTTGCCTTCATGAAAATAGTCTTATTGATATCCTTGAAGTATGGTTCCTTCAGAAATAGAGATAATTAAAAGATGTTTTTTAATCCTCAATATAATTTGTCTAGCTCATCAAACTTTGAGAAAAACAGGAAAGGAAACATTACAGCTTTCAGATATCTCTAGAGGTTCAATTTTAGACCCAAAGGAAGCCAGGAACTAATATATCACCCCAACAACTACAGAATGAGCTCACAGGGAGCCAGAATTATGGCGAAGCAGGTGAGTCATAAGCAGTTTGCATGCAGAGTTTGTACACGGAGAGAACTGCCAACCTCCCACCCTAACCTAGCTGAGCTGTGGTATTAAATGGAATCAGTCTGCTTTAGCGATAATACCATTAATATCTTAACTGCATTTTTCACTCTCATACTCTCTGCTTTTTAGTACTTTATAAAGGATATCTATTTGTACTTTTACTACTTCTTCAATCTTCAATTTTCTCAGTTTCTGATGAACTGTTTTAGCTTATAGACCATAAAGTACTTAACCTAGATAAGTGGGAATGGGACATAGGAAAATGAATAAGTCATACTAGATTATTTTGATATATTTTAGAGCTGTGAAACATGCACAAAATTGAAACACAAGGAAATAATCTAGTTTCATTTATGAATTACACATTTTTGTGCTGCCATACTTATATGTGCATAAAACAGATACTGGCAACAAAACCACTGAGTATTAGTGTTAGTTGCCTCAAGATATTTTTTTCAGATAATATTTAACTTTTAATCAACATTCTCCCTTACTTCCTAAAATTACAAAGCAAAAGAGCTGTTAAGAAGACTATTTTGAGAGTAAAAGATTCCTCTACCGGGGCAAGTATTGCGTAGCATTAGAGAGCTAAGGTGTACCTTTTTGCCCACAAGATGACATGATTCAAAGTGAGAAAACATCAGTGATCACTTTTCCCCAACACTGGCAGGGCCATGAAAAGTGTCATTTTCATTCTTCAACTTGCAACAAAATCTGCCAGAATAAATGGCTGAAGTTAACATCACTCATGTTACTGAATTTATTCTCAAGGGAATTACGGACCGGCCAGAGCTGCAGGCCCCGTGCTTTGTGGTGTTTTTAGTCATCTATCTGGTCACAGTGCTAGGTAACCTTGGACTGATAACCTTAATCAGGATTGATGCTCGACTCCACACCCCTATGTATTATTTCCTCAGTCACTTGGCCTTTGTTGACCTTTGTTACTCGTCTGCTATCACGCCGAAGATGATGGTGAACTTCGTTGTGGAATATAACACTATTCCTTTCCACGCGTGTGCAATACAACTGGGTTGTTTTCTCACCTTCATGATCACTGAGTGTTTCCTTTTAGCTTCCATGGCCTATGATCGCTACGTAGCGATCTGTAGTCCCCTGCATTATTCAACCGTGATGTCAAAAAGAGTGTGTGTTCAACTGGTGGCAGTTCCATACATATACAGCTTTCTGGTTGCTCTGTTCCACACCATTATCACCTTCCGGCTAACTTACTGTGGCCCCAATGTCATTAACCATTTCTACTGTGATGACATCCCCCTCTTGGCTCTGTCCTGCTCAGACACACACGTGAAGGAGATTCTGATCTTCGCCTTTGCTGGCTTTGACATGATCTGTTCTTCTTCCATTGTCCTCACCTCCTACATCTTTATCGTCATCGCCATCCTAAGGATCCGCTCTACCCAGGGGCGACGCAAGGCCATTTCTACCTGCGGCTCCCACATGGTGGCTGTTACTATTTTCTATGGCACCCTCATCTTTATGTACCTGCAGCCCAAATCAAACCACTCCCTGGACACAGACAAAATGGCTTCTGTATTTTACACAGTGGTGATCCCCATGTTGAACCCCCTCATCTATAGTCTAAGGAACAAAGAGGTGAAAGATGCCTCCAAAAAAGCCTTGGATAAAGGGTGTGAAACCTTAAAGATATTAAAATCAAGAAAATAATACTACTAAATGCTTTACTAAGTACAAAAAGGGAAATAAATCAAGCTTTCTCTTGCTGATATTTCATGGAATTCTTTCCCAATCAACTGAAAATGTGACTATTACTTCGACAGACCTTGACATTGTATGTAAGGACCCGGGCCAGTCCTGGACAGTCAGTATGAGTCAGAGTCCCACTCAGCCTTTAGAGACCACTGAAATTATCTTCAAACACACACACGCTGGCAAACACACACATGTGGATCCCAAGCAAAGACAGTGGCCTCCTTTTGTTAGAACAGCTCTGGAACCAAGACTCCCTGAGTTTGAATTCTATCTCCTTCCTTTATTATCTGTGCAACCTTGGACAATTGGCCTGAACTCTGTGACTCTCTTCCCAATTTTAGAAAATAATAGGGCCCTACTCATTCGTTTCTTTTGAAGACTAAACAAGTTAATATTTATGAGATGCTTAGAAAAATATCCTGTGCTAATAAGTGCTAAATAAATGTTTGTTATATAAATGTGTGTTATATATAATTAAAGATTAATTCATTGAGCGCTCAAAAGTTTATTGGTCTTTAAGTAAAGACAAATCTGGTTAGTTTTCTACTACCTGCCAGGCACTTAATCAAGCAGTCTTGCTTAATAAAATTAAACAAACATAGAAGTGTGTGAGGTTTTACCTCTGGGCTTTGATTATGTATAAATTACCTAAGGTCACATAACTAGTTATATGAAAATTCTAAGTGCAAATTCAAGACTATCTGAATTTTGTTTTCCTAATACTATGGGTGTTAAGAATAAGGTGTATTATAATATAGATTATCTAGATTTAAGTCTGATAATCAATATCAGATTTTAAAATATAATTTGAAGGACATGGTTTATAATAAATTGTACTTTTAAATGAATAAATTCAATGTATTTGCATTTTTGTTCAAGTAGAAATAATTTTAGGAGCCTGCTATTTATTCAATTACCCTTATAGGACAATGACATGAAATTTAAAAATCAATGATTTGATGTACTTTTATTTTGACATTTCATAAAAATAATTATATTAGTGATTTATTTATTTTTATTATTTTACCATTGTAGAAGGAGGCTGTGATAGTTGCAGTCATTGTACAGAGGGCAGTTTGAGGTTTGCGACACTAGCTAATTATTTCCTCTTCTGAGCTTATTTTGTAAATAACTCAAATATGCTGCTAGAAGGTACTTTTAGAACCTTGGGAGTTGAATAAATTCTCTGGTTTTTAAAGCAATTTTGACAGAAACATGATGTTTCTATTCACCACAGTTTGCCTTCTGACTATATAGTTATATAGACTAATAAACATGTCTATTCTCACCTATCACATATGAGACAAATAGAAGCATCATAGATAGTCTCTCTCTTTTTACAGGTAAAGAAATTCACACCTGCAGGATCTTGGTGCCTTGCCTGAAAAACACAGGCCTTCTGGAGTTTTCTGCACCTTTCTGCTTCATAAAATGATTAATAACAGCAATGCTCAGACACTAATTAAATTGAAGTTTTCACATTTTTACCCAATTTTAATTCCTTACTATCAGCAATCACTTCTAAGGTAAACCTGGCTTTTCTCAGGGACCAAGAAATCCAGGTGTACTTGATAGACATGTTATTCATTCTTCCTGGACAGGGACACACAGTTTTGAGCAGCCTCCAGGACTGGACTCCAGCCATTGTTTCAGGTGGTAGGGCTCATCTCTTGAGACACCAGTCCCTCAGTCAAAATATCAAAAGCAACATTCTTCCTTTTGTCTCTAGGTGTATTGAAATAAAATGTTTGTATTTTTATCCTTCTTTTTGTGATCTCCAAAATGTTTTTTGTGTCTGGATATGGAATCAAGAGACTGATAAAAAAAAATAGTGGGAAATGGATTCATCCTTGGCAGTGTCCAAGATTAGTGAAGAACATGACAGATTTCAGAAAGTTTGCCCCAAAATTGAGGTTTGTTCCTCCTGGTTTTGTGGCATATAAAGCTCCAATTATTTGTAAAATAAGGAAAATTCTCACCTCACAAACTGGTGTATAAACATTTAGGTAGAAATATATGTAAGGACCAAGACACAATCAACCTAATATAGGATTGTTGAATATCAGCTTTCTTATCATTATTGTCAGTGACATGGGTCATCTTGAAGACATTTTTCTGTAAATAGGATTGGATTTTTTGTACCTACAACTAATCTGTGGTCTACTTTGAATAGAAATCCAAGCAATTATTCTTTTTTTTGTTGCTGTTATATATATATTGCTTAAAGTATTACAAAGAGTATTACATATGTCTCCTTTTATTTTCCCCGCCCTTGACAATCCCCTGGCCTCCCCTACCCCCCAGTGTCTTATGTCCATCGGTTATGGTTATATGTATGCATACAAGTCCTTCGGTTGATCTCTTACCACCCCCCTCCTGCCCCCCGCACCCTCCCCGGCCTTCCTCAAGCAATTATTCTTGCATATTGATACTAATAGCTTCAGACTTTATTATATTTTCTTTGATTTAGTTTCTCTTCAATTCTTGTCCGCTTGTTAAGTGAAGACTGAATTGTTATTAAAAGAACAGGACACTTTCTGTATAACTTGTTTTTAAAATTTTATTTGAATAAAAGACCAGAACCCAAGCAGGCTGGAAGAGGTTAATGGGGGAAAAGGAAGACCTATGTAATACTTTCAAAAATAAAGATTTAAAAAAAAAGACCATCAGCCAATATTTCTGCACTACTATTAACAATAAGGGAAGAAGAAAAGTAGGTGAGATTTGTTGAGTATTTGCTATTGTTTAGCCTAATTGTAAATTTTTAGCATTTATTAACTCATTTAGTCCTCATCACTACTAACAAGTCACACACATCAAGTTTAATATGTAAAAATCAGGACTTACAAGATGGATAAATTAAATGGTCTTTACCCTATTTGCCTTTGAAAAAGGATAATTTAAAGATGCATATAATTAAAATTCCTTGAAAACATGCTTTAATTTAATATAAAAATTGTTTTAGAAGTATAAGATTTAAAAAATATCTAGAATGTAAGTATTCTAATAAATTTAATTTATACTTTTTGTATGCCTACTTATAATTCCCTCATGTTCTCTCAGTTATATTTCCCATTTATGTATTAGTTCAGAGAAGCCCATATTTTTCCTACATATTTTGACCTTACCAAGTAAATTAGAGTGTAATCTGTGAAGAACCACTAGTGATCATATGTAGAGACCTCTTTTTTCTCTCTCAGACTTTCTTGGTACTTAATTTAGTCGTAAGTAAAACATAACTCAAAGTCCTCTGATTCCTCCTTGTCCAATAATATTTCAGTTATTTAATAGCCAAGCACAACTTTTCTTTAATTCTTTTCAGTGAGTTTTTTTTACCTCCTGGTTTCTCAAGCTATAGATGAATGGGTTGTGGGAATCACTACCACATGAAACACCAAAACAAATGTATGTGTTCACAGAATGGCTTGACTTGGGAAGTAGGTACATAAAAATGATTGTCTCATAAAATATTGTGATGGAGGTCCGATGGGAAGCACAGGTAGGAAAAGCTTTCTGTCTTCCTTCAGCAGAATGGATCCTTAGTATGGCAAAGTTGATGAAGGAATAAGAAATGATCACAATCAGTCGCGAGCAAAGGGCATTGAACCTAGAAATGATTCCCAACAGCAGTTCTTTGACTTGAGTATCACACAGGCCAGAGCAATCAAGGGAACATCATCACAGTAGAAGTGGTTGACCATATTGAAGTCACAAAAGGCAAGTGGAATGTCACCACTGTCTGTATTCATAAATGTATGTGCTAGCAATGATTCAATTACAGTTTTCTAGGCATAAGAATTACATAAAGGGTTGCAGATGGCAATATACTGATCATATGCCATGATTGAGGGCAGATACTGTTCACACATTATAAATGTGGTTAAGCAGCACACCTGAATGGCACATGCATAAAATGTTATACCTTTCACTTCACACAGGAAATTCACCAAGGTGTTTGGGGTGAGAGACGAAGTAAAAGAAAAATCAACAAAAGCCAGGTGGCTGAGGGAAAAAAATGCATGGGTGTGTGAAGCTGAGGACTGGTTTGAATTAGCACAATCAAGCCAAGATTACTCAGGAAAATAGCTATATAGATTACTAGAAATATGCCAAAAAAAATGGCTTGAAGGTATGGATTATCTGTGAGTCCTGAGGAGATAAACTCTGACACTGCTGAATAATTGCCTTTGGTCATGGAATAGAATTAAAAATTATTATTATTATGTTTTTGACATCTTAAAACCCTCCAGAGCACACATTCTGAGCATTCTTGTCTCCATTGGCAATAATCAAGCAGATGTTAGGAACTGATACTGACCTTCTATAATTGCACTCTATGAAGAATCTTCATATTAGTTCATGGTTGCAGAATGAAGTGATTTGTTCTAGGCAGAAATTCCAAAACATAAAACTGTGGAGGTTTATAAAGACATAAAGAGGGCCTTGCCATCCTTTCTGTGCCCATCACACTATTAAACATGCAAATATTAGCTCGTTGTTTCTCATTGACCTTAGAATAGAGGCCACACTTCTTAACGTGGTTAACCCAGCCTTTGATAAGCAAATCCTACTTTGCAGACTACTATCACCTCTTGTGGCATTCTTCATGTGAACTCCATGCTTCAGTCCTGTTGCATGTTACAAATTTCTCAGATGTTACCCAGATTCTGTACATAGTTTGGCCAGCATACACTTCCCTGTATCTTTACCTCTCTACTTGGCTACTAAAATTGTATTATTTCTCAGATTACAGGTGAAATTTTACTTCATTCTAGAGGTGTTTCAGTATCTCTTAGCATGTTAGATCCAACTATTCATTCACCTATTAATTTGTCTGTAACCTACTCAAAATTTCAAAAACTTGGTAAGCAGAGATAGCTCTACTTTTCCCATTTTTCTAACAATATCTAATAGGACTCAGTAATTAGTAGTGGCTCCAAATGCATTACTAGAAT